ACCATTCATTCCCCACAGTAGTTATGGCCGTATAGCCACTTAGAAATGATATTATAATATTACAACTCCTCTATAAGTAAGCTTAAGGTATAGTAAGGTTCTATATCTTGAAACAATTCCAGTGTAACCGAGTAAAGGGCTATAACTACATTCAATCCCGGATGCTGAAATTTAGTTCAGTCCCATCACCTCCATCTCAGCATTCCCCACACTTATAGTATAATAAATCTTCTATAACTAAGGTATCCTAAGGTATACTAAGGCTGGTTGGTGGTTTCAACCCTCTGAAAAACATCAGTCAGACCCAATAGTGGGGAAAATAAAAAATGTTCCAAACCACCAACCAGACTAGGAAATATTGGGTTCATTTGTTTTTTTTTAACGGTATAGATGTATAGTTGAGCTCCAATACCAGAAGGGCTTGTCTTTCTGCAATCGTTGCTTCGAGGCACACCTCGCGGCAGCAGCACGTGCAGATGCATCTCATCGGCCCGCGCCGAGGCAGCTGCCAGCTGGGGGAGGACCTGAGGATTCAGCGAGGCCGACAGCGAGCGATTCAGCGATGCTGGAGATCGGATCAAAATCTAATCAAGATCTAATATGGACCTAATCCATATATGAAAAATTGTGGATTTATGGATGTGAATGGTATTTTCCAATAATAATGGATGGTATTTTCGGGTTTCCCATTCACATTCCAATATTTCGCATTTTTATGGATGTGAATTGGATGTGAATGGGGTCCTAATCAATTGTTACCTATAGTTACTGGAATAAAAAGGAACATTAAATAGATATATTTTTCGGGGTCCATATAGGTACTATATGGATATCTATGGATAGGAAATCCACAGTTCTTGGTATGGAAAATCGGAAACCCACTGTTATGTTGCATGGGAAAGCCATCCGTGAAGATAATTGGAATATGTATGCATTGATGTACCTGGATCTGGTGGTATCGTGGTGTGACATCATGGCATACCATGGCGCTGCAGTCAGGTACATGTGAGGTACTGGTATATTGACGGTGCTGCATGTTAAACCAGTTGGATGTTAGAACTTAGAGGTAGTTTGGAATTGAAATTAGATACATTCTCAAATTGCACGTTCCACAAACCTCTATTTATCGGAGATTTAACATTTTGATCACTGAATGATATATTACAGGATATTACAAGGTAATATACGAGTGTTGATCCAAATTTATCAGGATTCAGGAAAAGTTGCTAAAGTTGGAATCAACTGTCAGAGATTTGTTGCTAGTGGTCCCCCAGCTCGAAATCGCTGAAGTTGGTGAACTTAATTCCGCTTTCACTCGGATTTCTGGTAGATCTATCAAACTAAATCTGTAGCACTCTGGTTTACAAAACAACATCAAAGGATTCACGAATTTCGTGGGTGAGCATCACCTTGTGGAAAAATGGATGGTGGTACCCCATTCTTAGAGAAATCAATATATATTTTCAGACACAGCCATTGCATGGAATTCTATATGATGGAGCAATTTTGGAACTACAAACTCTCTTCCATACAATGACAATATCATACAATCTAGAAACAATCAACGCCGAAGTCGCAATCTACAACAAAAACCTCTAGTGGGGTGCCCCTATATCGTCAATGGTCAAGAAAACACGGTTTCCTGCAGATCCCCAACCAGGGGTTCGGACCACTTTTTGGATGTTCGGATGTCGAAAACGTGCATGCCGTTGTGGCGCGAAGGACATTTCGAAGTAAAAATGTTCGAAACACTAGGGGTTCGGACCACTCTTGGAGGCTCAGATGTCGCTTCGCTTCACAACGCCGAAGTCGCAATCTACAACAAAAACCTCTAGTGGGGTGCCCCTATATCGTCAATGGTCAAGAAAACACGGTTTCCTGCAGATCCCCAACCAGGGGTTCGGACCACTTTTTGGATGTTCGGATGTCGAAAACGTGCATGCCGTTGTGGCGCGAAGGACATTTCGAAGTAAAAATGTTCGAAACACTAGGGGTTCGGACCACTCTTGGAGGCTCAGATGTCGCTTCGCTTCACTACACTACACTACAGGACATTACACTACACTACACTACACTCCAGTCCACTACATTACACTACACTACACTCCAGTACACTCCCCTACGCTAAATTACACTACACCACACTACATTACACTGAATGACATTGCAACACAGATAGACAGGTAGACAGCTACACAGATAGATAGATAGATAGATAGAGAGAGAGAGATAGATAGATAGATAGAAAGAGATAGCTAGATAGATAGCTAGATAGCTAGATAGATAGATAGATAGAAAGATAAATAGATAGATAGCTAGCTAGATAGCTAGATAGCTAGATAGCTAGATAGCTAGATAGCTAGATAGATAGATAGATAGATAGCTAGATAGCTAGATAGCTAGAAAGAGATAGCTAGATAGCTAGAAAGAGATAGCTAGATAGATAGCTAGATAGATAGATAGATAGATAGAGATAAATACGTCCTTCACTGACGTGATGTTTTCCCATCTGGGAGTTGCCTTTTCAACAGAAAAGGTAGCAGGAGCAGAAGCAGCAGCAGCAGCAAGAGGAAAAAAGAGCATGGTGTTTCCCTGCCGGGAGGTGTACCACTACTACTCCTACTAGGAGCAGCAGAGCTGCCTTTTGAACAGAAGGGGTAGCAGGTAGATATATACATAGATGCATAGATACATAGATACATAAATACATAGATGCATAGATACATAGATACATAGATACATAGATAGAAAGTCAGTGAAAGAGAGAGAAAGAGAGGAGACCTCAAGCACCTTTCGGTCCATCAGTGGCTTCGCTCTGCCATCCCTGATTCACAACCACCAACTTCTCCTATAGGTTTCCTATTTTTGAAACTTCCGCCACCGCCTTGTGCGGTACTACTGGTATATATGTATTATATCAAGGTATGGCCAGGTTCGCCAGGTGACAGAAAACGCGGTTTTGAACCTGAAATAACCGCCCTATATGGTGGTTTCCACAAATCGGGGTACCCCAATAGCTAGATAGTTTATTTCCATGGAAAATCTCACTCTAAAATGGATGATGATAAAAATCGGGGTACCCCCATGACTTCGGAGACCTTCATCTTCATCCATTCAACAAGGACTACTCCGCCAACATCTTTTTTCATATTTGTCATTCTTCAACAAGTCTGGATTTAAATTAATATATTGGGTTTTTCTAAAGGGATATTTCCATGGGATATGTCATGCCCTTTATTTTTTCCATGGTTTTTCTAAAGGGATATTTCCTGGAAACCCTTGATATCATGCCCTTATTTGTCCTTTGCAACAAATTGGGACTCTTGGGACACCAAGCGAATCAACCAACCGGTCACATGGGAAGGTACCCTGAAGGTTGATGTCTGAAACCACGTCTACCCCACAGAAAAAGGTCATTCTTCACTTTTCAAACCCAAAAAAGACCAAGTCTCCAGTTGCGACCAGCCAAGCCATACCGCCGGATTGGAACTCGTAGATCTTAGCTTCAGGGGCCGCCTGGGCGAGTTTGTCATGGCACATGGCAGGCTAAAACGGTGGAAAACATCGGGAAAATTCTCCAAATCCCCTGTGATTCGATGATATTTTGAAATGATTTTTGGGGGGCATCCCTCCCATTTTCAGACAAACCCATATATTGAGATGATTGAACTATATAGAGGGTTCGTTTGGTATATGCAGGAGACAATCTATAGTCAGATTACCTTTGACATTTCATAGATGCAAATGTTCCTTGAAATTATTCCTTTCAAGTGTTTGGAACGTTTTGCATGGATTTTGAAATGTTGTTAGAGATGGTCACCACTTTTGCAGGCGACCTTCTTGCGAATCCGAAATTTATTATTACTCGCTCCTATATCATCATTTCCATCGCTTACTTATTTCTAGTTTGGCAAATCTGCATCCTGATTGTGTTCATCCTCCTCCTCATTGCGTAAATCCCTGTTTGTTGTCATTAAACCACAAGTGTTCATCATGATATTGGACTTCATGTGGCTGGAATTCCCTTTTGGCAACGATCAAAACTCCTCATCGCAATAACCGGCAGGCTGGATCCGGACAGGGTTGCGCCACAAGGTAACAGCTAGACATCATATATGAAAACAACATAAATGTGAAGGCTTCCATATCTTCCAGATCCATGCCACAGCACAGCCCGCAGGCTCTGTACATATTACCTCGAGATGTGAGCTTCTATGTCGTTGCAAATGTCGTTGCGACGTTGCAGCCATTCAAACACGGGATTGAAAACCCGTCAAAGGCTGCCAAAGTTCAGCCAGGCCAAGTCTCACACCAATCAAGAGATTCTCTCTACACAAGAATCGGTCCTGGCTTTCTAGCCTCATAATTGTCAGCTCCAGGCAAAAACACTCGCTAGTTTGTTCGAGTTGGTAAACGAAAAAGAAACAAAACGCCTGAGCCAAGCACAAACCTGCACATCACTTCTGCGGCTATTTCCGTGGACCGGATTCATCCGACAAATTCATCCGAGTTGAATGCGCCGATCTCTGATGGATCGAGCAATCGCCATGCATTGGCAAAAAGGCTATGCCATGCTATGCTGCTATGTACAAATCTTCGTATCGCCATGGCCTGTGACACTGCATCTCTGGCAACGAAGATCCACTGCAAAGTGACAGCTTCGGTCAAGACGCGTCGCCTTCCACTGTCGCTCCACTGTCATGCAAAATGAGGTAGAGCTACGGAGCTTCATGCAGCCTGTACGTTTGCTGATCTCTGTACACCATTTCAAAATCCATATTTGGACACTGACTGGCAACCATCGAGCTTCGTTTGACTGGGCAATTGTTCTGAAATCTTTATATTACCGTGAGTCATCCACAATGGAAATCACAATTAACAATGCCACCAATACTGCCAGGCAGTTGCCATATGCAGATTCCAACCTTCCGAGACAAAATCCTAAGACATTCGAAAATCAGGCAGCTGTGGAAATACGAAGCCGTCGCCGCTGGAACCTCTCAATCGCCACGACGAACTGTGCTCTCCTCTTCCATAGCCTTCACCTTTACTCCAGAGCTCTGTGCACTGCTGATTCTGTCTGCAACAGCCAATGCACGTTGCCTCCAAGGTGCTGCAATCATTCCACAAAGACATGAAACAAGACCAAAACCATTGCTAGCACAAAATCCAACAACAAAAATGAACCTAACTTCACAGCAGGTTGCGCCGCCAAGCGCTGAGATCGAGGATTGCCACCTGTCGCAGCCAATGCTAAGGCTTGTTCAACGAAGCCCAACGAGCCAGCCTGCAAAGATGTGAGTTGCGCTGTTCGGCGCCGCTTCAGATTCTCGTCATTCGTCACCCGGGCCTCAAAATCCGCTGCGGCTACTCGGCGCACTGTTCCCACCACGCTGAGCTTCGTCTCCAGGACAGTGTAACCTGGGTCACTGAATCCCACACGCAGCGCAATGTAGATGGATCTCTGACTTTCCCGAATAACCTGGGGACCGCAGCACTGACAACTTCACATGACCCCACGCACCTGATTCAGACTACTTTTCAACTTTTTTACACATTCAATTAAAAGAGACTTTCTCCAAACCGAGCCTTCCAAACCAGAGCTTCATAGTCATCTTCAAGAGTCTGTGCAACCACCCTTCGACCGTACTCGTTGTCCCGCACGGGCTCCGATCCAGCGGCCAATGTCAAAATGATGCCAGCCAAGGCCATGACCCGCAAACCAGGACAGCTCCAAACCAAAATCTGCACATCCACAACTCGGGTCATTTTACTGGTTTTAATGACATATTCTTGAGATTTTATAGTGATTGAATACTGATGTAATAGTGATTTGATCTTCCAACCCCTATCTGCCAGGATCCAACTGTTAATTTATTGGAGGGTGGATTTTACATCAAAAGATCCACAACACTGTGAAGACCATCCCCAAAAAACTAGAAAATTACTTTACTTCGTGTGATCCCCACCATGACATTTATACATTTTCTTACTGGCAAATCTTCTGGCATTCTATCTGACATATCTTCTGACATTCTATTTGACATTCTATCTGGCATATCTTCTGGCATATGATCTGGCATATCTTCTGGCATATCTTCTGGCATTCTATCTGGCAAATCTTCTGGCATTCTATCTGGCATATCTTCTGGCACTCTATCTGACATATCTTCTGGCATTCTATCTGGCATATCTTCTGGCATATCTTCTTCTGGCATATCTTCTGGCATATTTTCTGGCATTCTATCTGGCAAATCTTCTGGCATTCTATCTGGCATTCTATCTGGCATATCTTCTGGCATATTATCTGGCATTCTATCTGGCATATCTTCTGGCATATATTCTGACATATCTTCTGGCATTCTATCTGGCATTCTATTTGGCATTCTATCTGGCATATCTTCTGGCATATCTCTCTGGGCATACTGCACTCTGGCTATCTGGCATATCTTCTGGCATCTATCTGGCATATCTCATGAGGTCCGGCAGGGAACACTTGGGCGAGGAGTGGTTGAGGTCCGGCAGGGAACACTGGGCGTGGATGGTCGTGGTTGAGGTCCGGCAGGGAACACTGGGCGTGGATGGTCGTGGTTGAGGTCCGGCAGGGAACACTGGGCGTGGATGGTCGTGGTTGAGGTCCGGCAGAGAACACTGGTCGCGGATCGCAGTTGAGCAGGAGGACGACGAGGACGACGAGGACGACGAGGAGGACGAGGAGGAGGAGGAGAGGAGGACGAGGCAGGAGGAGGCGGAGGAGGAGGAGAAGGAGGAGGAGAAGGAGGAGGAGAAGGAGGAGGCAACTGACATAAAATCTAACAACCCTCACCTGGCAGGTGGGGAACTATCTGAAATGCATGCCAGTTGAGGTACATAATTCCAAACTATTCCATAGTGATCTGGGGTTTCCCTAGCATGGTCCCTACAGGTGACCCGGCCTCACAGGGTCGAGCGCTCGAAGGTCTGACTTCTTCGCGGCCGAACTCCAGCTGCTCACGCCTCGGTCATCATGTCAATGGATTGGTTTTTCAACCGGAAAACCCCATGCTCTTACTGGTAAAAACCATGGTTTCCGGTTAAAATTTTCCCTTAAACCAATCCATTGATCATGCCATTTATTTGGATGGAACATGATGGAACTATGATGGAACTACCATCTGGTTATGACATTCACAGAAAAGCCATGGAAAGATCCACCCATTTTTGAGAACGGTAAACCATCTATTTCGATTAGGGCCATTATCCATGGCTATGCCCTGGAATCAGACATGGCTAGCTGGGAAATCCCCAACAAGAATGGATGTTTATAGCTGGGAAGATCATCGAACTAAATAGGGAGGGTAAATAAGAAGTTCATCTGTTTCAATTATGGGTTTGTCTGAAAATAGGCAACCCCATTCCACTAGTTTATCGTGATTTTCAATCTTAAAATGGTCATATCTTGGGCACCGAACATTCTCATACCTGCCAAAAAAGAGGAAACATCTTTAGACTCCGGACAGCCCCTATGTTTAACCTCTTCTGACATCACCATCCTTCTCAGTGCGCAGCTCATCCACAGCACCAGCAGTATTCTCGGCACCCTAACCGGAGCAACTGGGCACCGGGAATCTACACATGGACATTGCAGCCATTGCCATCTGCGGTGGCAGCATGTAGCAAACCCCAAGGCCATGAACAACTACCATTTCGGAATGAATTCTACAACCCATTTAATATTGATTAATGAAGTTTATGTCAACCCATTGACCCATTGTGTACGATTCGCTAAAAACAACATTACGAACATCTTCGCAGCGGGTCATCTTCAGTAGGAACCTACCCAGCGAGTCATCCGGTTTGAAACCATGCACTCCAAAATTCGTCCGTCAATGCGCCAAAATCTACATAGGTATTACTGGAGATATAATGGTGAGTGGTGAGTCATTCACCGTCAAATCTGCTTTCCGTGTGTACCTTGTTGTTTTTTTCCAAAGGTCATCCCACCATGAATTGTTCAAAGGAATAGAATTCGCCGCTCGAAAGAAAAAACAACAAAATTGAATACAACTATATAGTCATCTATAGGAACGTAACTACGATTCACTGTTTTGTTTGTTTACTGTTTTAAACACAAACCAAAATAAACAAAAGATTGTTCACTCGGATCTGCATTGAAATTCACTGCCTGTCGCATGTAGCCGCGAAACTCGGGGGACTGCTGGTAGCCCACTTTCTCCTGCGGATGTGATGTCACTTCCAAGCAAGGGAAAATATCTCCGGAAAAACAAAACGTGTAAAATCTCACTTGAAGCCACCACCTAGAACATGAATTGCCTGAGATTGCCCGTTTTTTCATGGTGTCAACATTCTGACCAAAAACTGGCATACCATTCATACAATCCAAAAGATAAAACAATACCTGGTTGGTGGTTCAACCCCTCTGAAAAAAAAAATAGTCAGTTGGGATGATGACATCCCAATATATGGAAAAATGGAAAAATAAACTTCATGTTCCAAACCACCAACCAGCAATATAGTATACTATATATTATATATATACTGATATATACCGAGTCTACTCTACTCACCGAGAATCCGATAGAGATCTCGATAGTCCCAGTTTCCTGATGAAATTCCACCATGCTTAAACTGATTGAAGTCACCTTCAATGGTCACTGTGGCACCACACCTCACATTCGCCCACCCCCAAGTAACACCCCCAAACAAGATCATATACTTGTCACCAAACCATGAATGAAAAACTGGCTATATGCAACGATTTTGACTTTAGGTCTTTAGGATTGAGAGTTTTCATTTAGGGTTTAGGCTTTTAGGTTGTTATGGTTTTAGGGATTTAGGGTTTTAGGTTTTGGAAAGTAAAAAACGCTAACCCTACGAAGGGATTTGAGCATGTCAAAGGATATGTGGGATCTGATGCGGGCAAACGTGGGGTTTGCAGCGCACTATATGGGATTATCATCATCATTATCCCAAGATAATGCTAAGGTGGAATGGGATTTCTATGGGATTTATATCTTGGGATTTCGTATCTCTTGAGGTTATCCTAAGATATTGATGATTTATATGGGATAATATATAGATCGTAGCTAATAGGATTTATATATCTTGGGATTTCCGGTGATGAAATGATCTTTGTTGATATGGTTTTCCAACGGTAAAGTGCGAAACCACACAAAATCATATGATTCTGGTGATGTGTTACTTTTCTGCATCTTTTTGATGCTAGAATTCACTTTCCAGGCGGCTTTTTTTTGCAGTCCAAGTGACAATCTCCGGAATCAGCACAGCCCAAAGCACTCCCGCAGCCTGTGCGTCGATATAGACGCATCACCTTCAACATTTGGAGGGCAAACCAAATAAAAAATCTGCAAATTTTGTCCGTTGTGACTATGATTAAGTTGTGACTAGATGTGATTAGTATTGTAATTCATGTGTTATTCATATTGTTACTTCGCCCTGCTTTTGGAAAGATTTGCAGCCAGAAACCAGGATGCAAAATCCTCCAAAATACTCCAGAGTACTCCAAATATGGAGCTGTCCTGCAGTGTTTTCCCTAAATATCCCTAAATTCTGAGACCTGACTCAGGCTCAAGCGTGGCGTCCAGTCTCGGGTAAGGATAAGTGCCTGCATTTTCTGGCTTTGAGCCAGTTGTCACTCATCACTTATCACATAGCAACACAAAAAAAATTAAAGATAGAAAAGTAAAATCCTTACATGACTAAAGATGTGATAAATGACCTTTCACGCTATCTTTTTGGGGCTTCCATTCACCCAAACGCGGCGTGTCGCAGCGTTCCCATCCTCCATGTTTTTCCCATGGAAAAAGGGGCCTGTGAAGTCATTGGACAGCAAGACTTGCAGCGACATGGGCTCGGCCAAGACACCATCATCACGCATCTGACCATTTTTTTCGGATTGTCATGGATGATCATGGATTAACCATAAAACTATCAATGGCTTATCCATAAACTATGGATTATCATGGATGATTATGGATTATTATGGATTCTCCCATCTATCAATGGGTGAACTAACATGAAACTAACATGGCTTAACCATAAAAAACTACTGTTCTTCACCATCTTCACCACAGTGAGCTGATCCTGGGACGCTCCCGGCCTCGACGTAAACGAAGAATCGGTACTGGCTGCCGCCAAAAAGTCGGCATCCCGTCAGCACCACCTGGTTGTCAGCACCACTAAGTGTCGATTTTTTCGATAAAAAACACTAGGAATCGACTCACACATCCGTCTTGTCTCAACATTCTGAGACATTCTAAGACATGAGCGATGATGATTTTTGGAGCATGTTTTCAGATGAAACAAGATGAAACAAGTAAGCAATGGTTTTTTGGGTGGCAAATCCACCTAGAACGGCAAGGTCTTCAATGGCGAATATGATGTCATCAACCAGTGGCTTTGGGCCGGGGAACCCACGTAGTGTCATCCCAGCCACAACTCAACCAAAAAAAACTCCTCGACCTGGGAAAAATATGAGGAATAATTGCAAATAGATGATGCCTATCACATACAGTGTCATAGGGTATCATATACTGATCCCATTTCATGTGACTGATGCCAGGCATTGTTTGAGTCACGCACGGTGCTTTCCATGTTGTTCACAAAGCCGTTCCACTTACCTCGGCTCAACAGGATCCAGGATGCCATGTCTCCATATCTTCATTTAGGCGGTTTCCGGAGATGTTGAATTCTATTCCAGTCATATGTTGAATATGTGGGAAACCCATTCCAAATTATATGGTAAATCACCATTAAGACAGCATTCGGATGAGAACTGGGGGTAGATCAACCATTATCATACAAACAAGTGGAGATTCGGAAAATTCCTAGTCCTATCGTTGGGGGCCTGATTTTGCGCACCTTCTCCATCACCGGCAGGGCGAAAAATTCGCGGCCACTGGTCATCCCACCATGAATTGTTCAAACTGGAAATTTCGCAATCATCCACAATATTATGGACACAACTACTCAATATCTCAATGGGGTCTATGTGGGTTCCATCGTGTGTATGAAATTGTATATCATTGTTTATATCATTTTATATCAATATCACATATGGCACTGCATAGTAGATGATGTTGCTCACTCTGTCTCTTTGGCTAATGCACATGTCCAAAACCTGTTGCGTGGCCACTTCTGGGTTTGTCTGAAAATTGGGTACCCCTAAATCAGTTCATCGCCATTTTCCCTATCAAATTTGCCATTCAAGAATATATCACATATTCAATCACATCCAAATCATACTATATAAACATCTATAAACCAGAAATTATGTCCCCAATATTCCCCAATATGATACTATACAACCAGTGTTTTTCCCAAGGTATCCGCTATTGACCTAGTTGGTTGTATACCCCATTCCATCTCAACGATCTCCTCAGGTTTCCTGCTTTGTTGTGCCTCATGCAGGCGGCTGAGGTCATTTGGAAGCTCCGTGAGCAGCAAACAATCGGCTCCTGTGATCTGGTAAATTGGGATCCTGGTTGCATGAGGAAAAGCTTTACCATCTGGTAATTTGTTGCATAACTATGGAAAATCACCATAGAAATAGTGAATTTTCCCATGACAAATTGTGATTTTCCATAGTTATGTAACAAATTACCAGAGGGTATATTTTGAGAGTCAGTCCTACTTCGAAGCAAAATTTCTTGACTCCTCAGTTCCAATGGTGAAATTCACCAGGTCTTCCTGTTTTAAGCAATCGGTGCATAACTCTTTCATTTTCCACGATTACTCTGCATTACAAATAAACAAGACTATGGAACATCCACAATTTTCATAATTTCCTACTTGGCGGGATGCAGTTGAGGTATAACCATGGGTATAACCATGGTTATAACCATGGTTCTGAACCCCATAAGTTGGGATGGAACTATATCTATATTATCCACTTATATTATGTGTAACTGCACTTCCAAGCAGGGAAAGTATGCACATTTTCCAGCTCCTCCATCGGCTACTCAACTCGGCATGCCTCACCTGTGGGGTCGGAGGGGATGCCGAAATCCTAACTTTTTGCTATTCTTTTGAGGTACTGAAGATACTCCTTAGCAAAAAAAACATATAACTTTCCTGAAGGTGGATTGACCACGAATGTGACCACAAACACAAACAAGATAACATCAGAACATCCATGGCTATCCTTCAAACATGGGAAATAGAAACAAGGTCTGGTGTAAAACAAGCACTACTGCATGTTTTGAAGTAGAACTGTATACATGATATATGAAAACAATATGAATGAAGGCTTCCATATCTTCCAAATCTTCCAGATCCATGCCACAGCACAGCCAGCAGCATCTGTACATGTTACCTCGAGATGTGAGCTTCTATGTCGTTGCAAACGTCGTTGCGACGTGGCAGCCATTCAAACACGGGATCGAAAACCCGTCCAAGGCTGTAAAAGTCAGCCAGGCCAAGTCTCACACCAATCAGGAGATTCTCTCTACACAAGAATCGGTCCTGGCTTTCTAGCCTCATAATTGTCAGCTCCAGGCAAAAACACTCGCTAGTTTGTTCGAGTTGGTCAACGAAAAAGAAACAAAACGCCTGAGCCAAGCACAAACCTGCACATCACTTCTGCGGCTATTTCCGTGGACCGGATTCATCCGACAAATTCATCCGAGTTGAACGCGCCGATCTCTGATGGATCGAGCAATCTCCATGCATTGGCAAAAAGGCTATGCCTTGCTATGCTGCTATGTACAAATCTTCGTATCGCCATGACCTGTGACACTACATCTCTGGCATCGAAGATCTACTGCAAAGTCACAGCTTCGGTCAAGCCGCGTCGCCTTCCACTGTCACTCCACTGTCATGCAAAATGAAGTAGAGCTACGGAGCTCCATGCAGCCTGTACGTTTGCTGATATCTGTACACCATTTCAAAAGGTATCATATTTGGACACTGACTGGCAACCATCGAGCTTCGTTTGACTGGGCAATTGTTCTAAAATCTTTATATTACCGTGAGTCATCCACAATCGAAATCACAATTAACAATGCCACCAATACTGCCAGGCAGTTGCCATATGCAGATTCCAACCTTCCGAGACAAAATCCTAAGACATTCGAAAGGATAAGCCTTCAGTGTAATGAATTGCACTAACGCTGCTGCCTCGGCTATTGCACACTGACCACAATAGATGTCAGCAACACTGGATAGTAGCAATCTAGACATAGAATGGTGTGCAACTCACAGAACAGCAGCGCATTTCACCAAAACAAGCCTGTGCTTGACTAATTGACGCCTGCTGCTGGTGACTGTACGTTAGCATGCAACCCGAATGTCCCAAGAGAAGCACAACAGCTTCAAGGATTTTCACCGTTCATCGCATACTTGCCAACATTCGGGCAACTTGACATCGTAACTTTCAAATTGCCACGACAAAGTGACTAATAGTTGCTCTGAAGACACTACTGCAGCCATTCTCGAACTCGCTTCTCCACATCCTCCAAGCCGAGCACCGTCGTCGCAGCTCTGAATGTTTTCAACTCTGCCATCACAACCTGCCTTTGGCTCCGTGACCTCTTCGAACTGACCCTCTCATACTGAGATCCTTCAGCAAAGGGCTCGCAAGGCCTCACGCCAGTCATGATGTGCCGGATAGTATCAACCCTAGTCAAGAGTGTCTCTATTCAATCTATCCATCTTGCCACATCTCCCGCCTACCCATGCTACAATCCATTCCCATTGGTTTCCTGCTTACCAATCTTTCAAAGGTACTGTAAAACCACCTACCTACTACATGTCCATAAAATTCCACCCCTAGTTTCAACTGCCACTACCTAAACTCAACCAAGGCACGCTCCATTCAACTTCCATTCGCCCGACCAGCCCGTCAACGCTGCTGCAATGGCGCTTCCAGCTCCCACCAGCTTTAACTGCAAATGCTCTCGATCTGTTGCATTGTCGACTACACTGATTTGCGCGTGGGCAAATCCTGGTGGCGCAATCAAGGACAAATCCTTGGCGCATTCTTCGACAGTCCCTCGCACAAAATCTCCTGCCGACTCAATCCAACTCTGAATAGCTTGATGGACTGCAGCATCTGTCGAACTGGTTGCCACTCTGACTTGCTACTTTGCAACCAATGAGACATTTAATCCAACTTTACACTTTTAATATCTCTTGACTTATGCTCGTGTTCTTGCTGCCACTAGCTGTCATGTTTTCCCCGGCCCTGCCTCAGGCAATTGCACCACGTTCTTGCAGTCAGCCAGGTTGAATCGCCACCGAAGGAAACATTCCATCAGGTAAAGGCCAGCCGCCACATTGTCAACTCCACCACCAACAAAAAGGGTCACTGGGTATGGTGCTGTCTTCGGTGCCTTCAACACCATCTGCCCCTCCACTCCGAGCTCCTCCACTGATCGTGAATATCCATCAGGCGCAGCTTCTTGAATAAACTTCACAAACATCTCAGCTGCTTGAAACAATGGATTCGGTCGCCTCAAAGTCGTTGCCACAGTCACAGTATAGAGCAAGTCTTCCTCGAATTGTCGATAAAACAAAGATCCCTTCTCTGCGTAGAAATCAACACGAAAGTTCACCACAGGCCCAACCGAAGCGGCTAACACCTTTCTCTTCTTTGGAGAGAATTTCTGTGCTTGAGGCTCCTCTTCCGCCATGTCCCTAGCCCGTCAGTTCAAGCCCTAGCCAAAACTGCACGCTGATACATTGAACATACAGTCATAATCTCCAAGCTGGCACGCTGATGGGTACCCAAACTAATCTCTATAGCACTTCAACCAATGGGGAAAGAACGACAAACGATGTCTGCAGCAAGTCTATCATCTTTTATTGTCCTTGATACCATCCTTTGTCTTGGTTTCATCACAAAAATACCACCATTGCAATTCATATGCTCGAAACATAATCCAATCCCATCCAGTACTACTGGCGCATGTTCAAACGTCTCATAAATCATCATAAAGCATCATAAATCATCATAAATCATCATAAATCATCATAAATCATCATACATCATCATAAATCATCATAAAGCATCATAAATCATCATAAATCATCATAAATCATCATAAATCATCATAAATCATCATACATCATCATAAATCATCATAAATCATCATAAATCATCATAAATCATCATACATCATCATAAACCATCATAAATCATCATAAATCATCATAAATCATCATAAATCATCATACATCATCGTAAATCATCATAAATCATCATAAATCATCATAAACCATCATAAATCATCATAAATCATCATAACTCATCATAACTCATCATATAAATCATCCTAAATCATCATAAATCCTCCTTTTCTGCCACTCTTCCTTGACATCATCGCCGTTGTTTTCCCTTGGAAACAAACACAAAATTTCCCGACCACCGATCGGCGGCACCAATGCTTCGGCCGCTGCCAAGCCGAGGCCGCCAACACCACCTGCGATGGTAGGAAAATGGTGGGAAAAATGGTGCATAAATGGTGGATATATGGGATTTTATGGTATTTTATGGGATTTATATGGTAAAATCGTCTAGATGGCCAATCAAAAGCGTGCTAGATGTGAAGGTGCGAAATATCCATCATGCTATCAATATATCAACAATATATATATATATATATAGTATATACATAACATAATATATATATCATAATATATATATATGGTATCTTATCTCTAAAGTTCGGAATATGTCCAACAACAAACATATTGTGACCATATCACCATCCGTGGCCATGGCAATTAAATGTTTCGAAGGTCCAAGACCCAAAGTCACAGCCTGGCACTGTTCTGCACGACTTGTCTATTGGTAACAAAACGTAGCATGAGGGTCAAAGTATGGTGTTTGAATGGAAAGATAATAGGATGGGATTCCATGTGGATCTATGATAAATAGATAGTAATTTGGGGCTACCCTCTGGTAATCAAACATAGCTGGAAATTTATAAATGGCCATGGGGATGAATCCCCTGGTGTCACACTGCTGCGCCACCTGTAATCAATGCACTCCAGTTCCCGTGACCTCAACACGAATCACTTCACACAAGGATCAAACTTGGGGTCCAGAAAACTGATACTTCCAAAGTGTCCAGATCAAATTTGAATCTATAAAATTTGGGTCCAGGAGCAAATATTGGATCCCAAAGATTATAGATTCAAAGATGATAGATGTATTGGAATTGTGTTGGTGTCATTGTTGAAGTGATAGATGTATCATAATACAATTTTTGGATCCAGACCTGAAGATGTTGCTTCAACACTCCAACCACCATCCTATAGGTAAGTATCTCAAATGTAGATGTAGATATGAATATTACATATATCAAACGTCGCTTCTTATTGGTAGCTCCTTTTTGCGTAGAGTATCATGAATATAATTATTGGACACTGGACCATTAATATCCCATTCTTTTTTCCATTCAATCACTAGTAAATCATAGTAACTATGGAAAGTCACCATGTTCAATGGGTAAATCCACAATAAATGGTCATTTTCAATAGCAAACTGTTAATTTACCGGAGGGCAAATCATAGTAAACCCTCCATGGTAAGTCCATTCCTCCTGGCCATCCAGAAATGGCCATGGCTCCCAAACCTGCACAGCTAACACCAGGTCCACACAGAGCTGCTCGAGTCTCGCAGAGTTCATAGTAATAATAATAGTTTAAACATGAGAACGATCCAAATATTAATCCTCATAACATATAATAACATAAGCTCCTTGAAGGTCTTAAATCAAGCCTCCAAGGAGCCTCCAACAAGAGAGGCCCCCATATAATCCATTTAAATTATTCCTTCTAGTCCGGGTACCCCTGGAATAATTTCTTAAGCCAGAGATATTATATAACCTGCCCCATTTCAGCGAACCTCCTCCGCCTCGTAGAAACGCATGTCTCTGGCATTGGAACCTCCGGGAGGCACCAAGGCTTCGTGCCATGAGGAGCACCAAGACACTTTGCAAGCTGGAAAATCATCATATTTTATGATGTTTTCTTTTCGGAGTGACTAGTCAAAGTCCTACTTACCAAGGTTACGAAAAAATCTGGACAAGACATAGCCAAAATCAACCATGAAATGGGATCGTAGCTGTACGTGCGTTGGCCAAAAATACGGTAATAGATAAGCAGCCAATCGTAGTTAAATCACGTGAAATATTGCTGCGATGCCTTCCCGTTGATGGTTGGTCAGAACATATAATATCGTTGGCAAGTCCCCCTGGGAATCCCAGATTACCACGAGCTCCACTGCTTTGCAGGTAGCTAAACTGCACCTGCCAAAGACCAGGTTTTGGAAATTCAAATGTCACCATGTTTAGTCTATATGAAGGTGCCATAGAGTACTGGAGGGATACATTTTCGATGGCTCTAGAGAGGGGGATAGAAAAAGAAAGAGGGATAGCTAGATGGCTAAATAGATAGATAAATAGCCAGAGAAATAGATAGATAGATAAATAGATAGATGGATAGATCTTGCTCAGCCCGTCCCAATCTATCAATACGAGCTCCTTTTGAAACAGATGATTGCTACTTCAACTGGAAAGAGATCAGTTTTAGACCTCAAAAGATGAAAATTCCAGAAGTCTCACCACGTCTCACCGTGAGTCCACTGAGCGCTGCTTCACCTGCCAGGAGTGAAAATCATCAGCAAAGATGCTGGTTTTGGTGAACTGACATTGTTATGATAAACTAACCCAAAGTATATATGTATGACCGAATCATAGACTGATGCGGTACCCAAAAGATTCTTTGGATAATAACATTGCTCACTAAATCTAAAGGATTTAAATCAGTTCCGAATTATTCCAGAGATAAGGGGCGTTGAGACGTTGCTTTTGAATCTTAGACCACCTTTTTACTGCACATTGCAAACACGTGCATTTTTTTCCCGTTTAGAAGTTTTCCCCAAAATCATGGACTAGTGTGATTTAGTGGGATTGGAATTTCACCACAATTTTCCCAGCGGAAAACCTATAGGTTTTGCCATCATCAAATACCAACACCATTGCTGGCGCCTGCCTGAGGCCCTCCTAAAGTGACCTCACTGTTTGCAAGGGCTGTATCCCAGTTCACCTGGATCAGGGAAGGTGGGAGACTCATAAATTCTGGTAGTGGAAAGAAGATATATATATATTTTATATATATAGTTATATATATGTATATATAGTTATATATATATATGTATATATAGTTATTTATATATACATCTGTATATCCAGTTTTATATATATATGTAGACTATATATATAGAGACTATATATGTATATATATATACGTACTTTATATATATGTGTGTATATGTATATGTATATGTATATGTATATGTATATGTATATGTGTATGTATGTATGTATATGTATATGTATATGTATATGTATATGTATATGTATATGTATATATATGTATGTATGTATATGTATGTATATGTATGTATATATATATATGTATGTATGTATAAATGAATGAATGAATGAATGAATGAATGAAATGAAATGAAATGAAATGAAATGTAATGTAATGTAATGTAATGTAATGTAATGTAAATTAAATGTAATGTAATGTAAATGTAATGTATGTATGTATGTATGTATGCAGTTTTACAAATCTACAGGTCATATCTGATATAGCTTGATATAACTTGATATAACTTGATCTGAAGGTTTTTTCGTCACAGTCACATGTGTAGAATAGGGCCTGGCTCCCCTGCTGTCTCATTCACCATAGATCAACATCCACTCAACAAGCTTTTGGTCAAGCCAATACCATTCTGAACGTTCCGACCGAGAGACAATCTTAACCAGCACTGGCATGGTCTTAGGGAACATTTTCGCCCGAAACCATGCTTTTCCCTATCAAATCTAAGGCTTTCCATCACTTTCCATTACGTACATCAATACATCTTCATTTTTCATAGCTAATCCGAATTTTCCCTGTTTTTTTAAATGAAACACACTCGTAGCGCCTTCTGAAAGAGTTCGTCCACGTTGCTCTGCTTAGCCACCAGGATGGCACGCTTGCCGTAGGGCACCGATTTGAACAACTCCACGACCAGGCCTGGCTGAAACTCTCATACACACACACACACATATATACATATATATAACTATATATATATGTATTGATAATATCCTACTATCTGTATTCTGTATCTCGGTCTGTTGATCTATCTCTCTCTCTCTGTATATATATATTATTGATATAAACATTTCACACATATCTGTTGCTTCATCGCAACTCTCCAGACTTTGCCTCCAGAGCTCATCTCGGCTGCCAACCACACCCAGCCCTTGCCATCATCCTCCACCTGGTGGACTGGATTTCACTAAGATGAAAATCTCTTGACGACTTCCAAAACCTGCTCGAAACCAGGCGATTGTTCGATGAATGAATAAGCATGAAGGTTTTTAGTCGAGCAAAGATGGTGGCTTCAAGCAAACACACACTGGGATAGACAAATGGATAGGTAGTTACATAGATAGATTAGATAGATTAGATAGATTAGATAGATTAAATAGATTAGATAGATTTGATAGATGAGAAAAATTAGATAGATAAGATAGATAAAATAGATAAGATAGATACGATAAATAGATGAATAGATAGATAAGTAGATAGATAGATAAATAGATACGTAGATAGATAGGTAGATAGATAGATAGATCGATCGATAGATCGATAGATCGATAGATAGATAGATAGATAGACAGATTGATAGATAGATAGATAAATAAATAGATCGATCGATAGATAGATAGATAGATGGATAAATAGATAGATAGATAGATGGATAGATAGATAGATAGATAGAAAGATGCATAGATAGATAAATAGATAGATAGATAGATAGATACATAGATAGATAGATAGATAGATAGAAAGGTAGATAGGTAGATAGGTATATAGATAAATCGATGGATGGATGGATGGATGGATAGATAGATAGATAGATAGAGAGATAAAAAGATAGATAGATAAATAGATAGATGGATGGATAGATAGATCGATAAATCGATAAAAAGCAATAAAGATAGATATTTAGCTCGCTACATAGATAGATAGATAGATAGATAGATAGATGGATAGATAGATAGATAGATAGATAGATTAGGTAGGTAGATAGATAGATAGATAGATCAATAGATGGATGGATGGATGGAAAGATAGATAGATAGATAGATAGATAGACAGATAGATAGATAGATAGTTAGATAGATAGATAGATCGATTGATAGATAGATAGATAAATAGATAGATAGATAAATAGATAGATAGATAGATACATACATACATACATAGAGCAGTTGCTTGCTTAGGAATGTCTATGAATATCCATTTGAGTCCATTTCAAAAGAATTTGAGACCATTCCAAATGGTTTTTCGCATGAATAGCCGATTTTGGATTAACCATTTTCCAATGAAACATATAGAATTTCCCAGCCAGCCATCGTTCAGTCCTTCTGGGTCTCGTCCACACCATAGCCGACACCGCCCTTGGTCACGAACCTGCTGTCACCAGGTGCATCGTTCATATTTGGGCGTCATGTTCCAAGGCTTCTGCAAATGTGAGTCATTAGCATCTTTTTTTGAACCTCTATCTCACCGCTGGGAGCCAGTCCTGGTTATCTCAATTAAATCCGTCTGCGCAAACTTCGCTGGGAATATCCCTACGTTTGTCCGCAACATCACGCGGCGCGGGTTCCAGTATCGGTTCCAAGTGGCATGGGATTGGCCATCTGCTCCTTCAGCTTGGCTACGGCCACAGCAATGTCCTGGTGTGCGACAAAATTCCATGTCAGAATGAACTTGGAGGCTTTCTGAAATCTCAAGGAACATGAACAAAATCGGGGATTGCAGACTTCGGGGATTTTCGCATCATCTTTGCGCCACACAACCAAGTCCTTCTTGCCATATGGGGGTCCCGTCCAGAGTCCGCTGTATCGTTTGAAGCCCTGAGGGGTGAAGTCACCATAGAAGAACTTCACGATCAGCTCATTCAACACGGTGCCCTGCTCCGCAAAAGTTGGCGTTTTAGGTATACAAGAAACCGGCGGCAAAACACAAAGAATCTCACCGGAAGATGCTGGGAATAAGAACCACCAAAACATGTTGTTGCCACGACATACGTACAAATTGAGACAATGCTGGATCAAATTTGTTCTGTTTGTTGCACATGAAACATCTGCTAGATAAGCAACATGATGGATGTACATCAGATGAGAACATTTGGGTCGCAAATACAACGTTTCTGGGCCAGCTACTCATGTTTTCTCGGTGCCTATCCGATATCCAAGACCCACTGCCTCATCAAGCAAATTCTGTCCCAGTTAAACGAAATCTTACAAGACCACAAGATGACCACAAGCAATGTGGACACGAGACAGCTGCATCCGATCACCTTACGAGGATCGCCACCAGCACCCGTCCGCAGGCTGTTATAGAAGTTCTGGATGTCAGCATCGCCTCATTCTTCATCAAAATGTTGGGGTATACATAGGAAACGTGTACCAAAAAAATACAATATATCGATATTTTAACCATCCAGTTATAATATATCCGGTAAACTAACAGCAATGTGACCCATTCTTTGCCCATCCACGATGGCCATTTGGACCCACTGATAGGTTCGCTACACTGTCATATCCAATTCTACACATTGTTTGTGTCCAAACCACTGATGTCATACTCGCCGCGGCCACGGGCGTTCAACTGCAACTTGGCGGTAGACCCGGTAGATGTCTTCCTGAGCAGGTGACACATGCTCTGCAATCGTGGATATTCATCCATCTATCTAAACTACAAACCCTACACCTACGCAGGATGACCAGTCCCACGGTGAATTGCACAAATGCGAAATCCATTGAATTGAAACAACAACATGACGAAGTGAACTCGGAACATTGTACAACTCCAGACCAAGCAACCTCGATTTCTCCGCTGCTCTCAGCACAGTGGTCCTTGACTTGGAGAGATTTCATTGCTACAGCTACTGCTTTCACGTATGCACTCAATGTGAAAATGCACTTTCAGAACACTTCTGCTGTTAGCATGCTCTGCGTATCGCCCGTAAATGGACAGGCATCTATTTTATATATCCTTCATGCTTTCATGAAACTGACTCCAACTATGAAGCATAGCCAGGAGTCTCGTACGCAAACTCTTCCACCTTTCCACGGAGAGATGCTTTCCTCAACCCACAAATGTCCAGGATTTACGTTGATATCACGACGCAAGAAACGTCAAAAGCGAGTGTATCCATAGTTGACAGTTTCTGATATAGCCAAGGCTCTCAAACTCTTGCTTCTGCACTCGCAGCTGCAGCTCGGCCACCCTGGGCCAATGTAGTCTACTCATGTTTGATCATCTTCAGCAAAAAAAGGTATGCATGAATACATATCTAGATATATATATATATATATATATATTATGTCCATATATATATATTATGTCCATATATATATATATGTATCTATGCAAAGGCCTTTTATACCAGTGAGCAGTAGCGGAAGTTTCAACAATAGGGAACCTATAGGAGAAGTTGGCTGTTGAGAATCACGAATGGCAGAGCGACGCCACTACTTACCTACCTACCTACCTACCTAGCTAGCTAGCTAGCTAGCTATCTATCTACCTATCTTTCTGTCCACCTCTCTATCTGTGATGCAGTGTCATTCAGTGTACTACTCAGATTTGCCATGTTCTTCTTTATTCCTCCAAGCTGCTGTTGCTCGGCATTGATCAGCTCCAAAGCTCTGCCGATCTGTTGTTGCTTCCTCACCCAAAAGTATGATTGCTGATTAAGATCAACTGAACAAGACATACAAATAATAGACAAACGTCATTTTAACGCTTCTCCTGTGATACTAAACATGATTGAAATCTGTCAGTTATTGGCACCAGTGTGTCAGTAGCTTATGTATACCTCCATTCTTTTGCAGCTGTCCGGAATTTTGCCACGACACTGGTTGGCATCAAGACGGCGCTGCAGCTCCAAACTCCTGATAATAAAGGTTTGGCTATGAAAAAATAGTGACACCAAAGAGCAAAACATATCCGCATGCTGTGCAAGAAAAGACCCTATGTTGCACTTTGAGTAAGTCACAGAAAGACGACACATTCAGACCAGTCACTCGATCGTCTTGTCTCGAGCTTCGTCACGTACCATCTCGATCCTTGGCTATCCGGACTGCAGAATTCAACCATAAAATGTCCATCATCCAATCAGTCTATAAATGGGATTCTCTGGCCACAGCATTCTGAATGACATAACCATGCACATAATCCATAGCGGTTCATGTCCTTCTTTGGCCTAGGCACTCGCGTTCCCTACGCTTCACTTTTCTCTCGAGATCCATGTTCCTTGGAGAGTCCAGTAAACTCAATGCCGAGGGTTCTGAATTGTTTCATATCAAATCGTGTCGGATCATGACCAACAGTTCATCTCGTTTTTTTGCCTAGGCACTCGCTTTCACTGCGCGTCACTCTTCTCTCGAGATCCATGTTCCTTGGAGAGGCAGGTACTTAAAAGGCCAAGTTTAGAAGGTTGGACCTCATGACTTCTTGCAAAAAATGTACACAGGCAACCCTCGTACATTGGAAGTAAGAACCCCAGCTCAAGTGAGCGAGAGCGATGTTCTGAAGTAGTTGTAGCTAAGGCTCTGCTGACACCTTTGCTCCACATCGCGCTGCAGGGCACGCTTCTCCCGCCGGCGCTGTTGGCACCGCAGGTTCTTTTTGTTTTCCGGCATTGTTGCCAGCTTGATCCAAAAGTTCGCGCACCCGAAGACATCCACACTTGGATGATGCCAAATCCCTTGTCTTCATCAGAAATGAGTAAACCTGCTTGTCCTCCAAGGACCAATACTGCCAGGTAAATTAGTTGATACTCGCTTTCAATAGGTGAATTTTCATGTCGAAGCCATGTTACCAGAGGCCCATCCCCCGTAAGAACTTGCCTGTTCCAGAAGTCGCCGCAGCAACTCAAACTCCAGCAAGCCACCTGCAGTCTCCTGGAGCAAGGGAACAGAATGGATCATGATACCCTCTGGTAAACTAACATAACCATGGACAAGCACCATTTTTGGTAGGTAAATCAACTATAATGGATATATATATATATATATATATATACCCTCTAGTACTCCAACATAGCACTTCAACATAGCTATTGAAAATAGCCATTTATAGTTGATTTGCCCATTAAAAAAAGCTGATGTTCCATAGGTTTCTTGTATGTTTACCGGAGGGTAATAAGGTGGCATCCAGAATCGTCGCAACTTCAAAAATATCGCCAACAGCCCTAGCCCTCTCCTCAACACGGACACCCACCAGAGGAGCTAAGTCAAAGGCTTCTCGACCTTCCAGGTTCCATGACACTGGCTACGGTGGCTACGTCCGAAAATCAGAATCTGATTCGGTGAAGGGAAGTTGGCAACATTCATAGAGACAATGATCCCCAGAATGTGAATCTCTAAAAATCAACTGTTACAAACATTGTATAATCATGTATAATATATTCATACCGATCCCTAATATATTTCTGATGTGACAAATTTATATCTTAGTGATGATTCCTTCCTATGTCTTGACACTCATTGACCCAAAAATCCAAACAAACAATCATTATTGCCGGCTGAAATAGGGGCCAAGCTGCTGTGCTTCGCGAGAAAGGCTACTGAGTATCTCAGTATCCGTCAAAATTATCCCCAAAAAAGGTGATGATCCAAAAATACCACGTTGGTGTGCATTCGCACCTCAATCGTACCCCATTCCTGGTACCATGGCTGCCATTCCAAGGAGCTGTAGGTCGCAGACACCCAAGGCGAGAGAACAACAACTCCAAGGATTCGGCTGTTGTCGCTCCATCCATCCCAATGGATCTAAGACGGTGAAAATATGTGTTCAGATGTTTCAAAATGTTTGGTTTGTATATAATCACCACAGATTTCAGATCTCACCCAAGAATTGCCCGTGTCAATAGCCATGTCAATGTCAATCGTGAAAATGACGATAAACGAGGGGATTGAGAGGTGTTTCCCCTAAATTCTCAAACAAGAAGCCACCAAAGAGACATAGTGACGAGGTTTTGAGACCATTCTTCCCTTGTGCCTATGCCCGTTTTCATGTTTTAGTGGCTATAGAGCATCATTGCGTCGCATAATTTGTCCACGTCAATTGCAAATACACGAGGTCCAAGCTAAGTGAATAGTTGATGTGGAAAATGTGTGTCTTCAGCACGTACCCATGTGATATTGTACCGCGGAAAATGGTTCCGAAATACCAAAGAATGAGTTGAAGCTACTGTACCATATAAAGCCATCTTTTTGGGGCATATCCCCTGAAATCTAGCCCCACATAGGTACCTTCAATCAATCGGTACCTAAAATGGCCATTGAAAGAGTTAGGTGCAAACATCAACCAAGACCACCAAGTCTATGGGCACTTCAATGGGACTTCACCAAGTCTTGTGGAACCAACACTGTTATGATAATTGATCACCGTGACTAAAGGTGCATGGGATATATATTTATATAATGCATGAAAATATATGGAAATGTCTATAGACAGATAGGATAATATGTTGATTAAAATCAACCATAATGAGATATACTGAGAATATCATCAGGATTCACATCCGCAGTTAAAAATTGAATGGTGGTTTGATTGGAGATTTACCTACCAGTTGAGGATTTGTCAAATGGCAGACGTTGCAGCCAGTAAGCGGGCAGCAGGTAGCCAGCAGCAGCAACAGCAGCACCATGGTGTTTTCCCGTCTGACACAGCAGGCTGTTCGGTACTGTTTGGTTGTTTCGAGTGGCAGCAGCAGCAGCAGCAGCAGCAGGAGCAGCAGCAGCCGCAGCGGCCGCAGCAGCGGCAGCAGCGGCAGTGCATTACCTTTCGTTGCGTTACATTGCAATGCATTGCATTGCATTACATTGCATTGCATAGCATTACATTGCCTTACATTGCGTTGCATTACACTTCATTGCATTGCATTGCATTACCTTTCGTTGCTCTTCATTGCAATGCAGGGCATTGCATTGCATTACATTGCATGGCATTACATTGCATTACATGGCATTGCATTACATTTCACTGCATTGCATTGCATTGCATTACATTTCATTGCTTTTCATTGCAATGCATTGCATTGCATTACGTTGCTTGGCATTACATTGCATTACATTGCATTGCATTCCATTACATTGCATTGCAGTACATTGCATTGCATTACATTGCATTGCATTACATTGCCTTACATTGCATTGCATTGCAGTACATTACATTGCATTACATTGCATTGCATTACATTGCCTTACATTGCATTGCATTGCAGTACATTGCATGGCATTACATTGCATTGCATTGCATTTCATTGCATTGCATTACATTGCATTGCAGTGCAGTACATTGCATTGCACTACATTACATTGCATTGCATTGCATTACATTGCATTCCATTACATTGCATTGCATTGCAGTATATTGCATTGCATTACCTTACATTGCATTGCATTGCCTTGCATTTAATTGCATTGCAGTGCATTGCATTTCATTGCATTGAATCGCAGGCTTTCATTTATGGTTTCTTTAGGTCAATTTATGATTTCTTTCGGGTTCATTTTGTGTTTCATGTAGGGGTTTCTGGCAGCAATTCATTCGGGTTTCTTTCGGTTTCACAGTTTCACCTACGGTGTTTAAACTTTCATTTAAGATACAAACAGGAAAAAATAAAACAAAAAAAGTAGGATTTCAATTTCATGTAGGAATTCTCTGGAGATTTACATCTCTTAAAGGTTTTATTTCGAGTTTCTTTTGCGTTTCTGTCGGGTTTCATGTCGGGTTTCCTTTAGGGATTCTTTCCGACTTCCTTTCGGGTTTAATTTCGAGTGTTATGTGAATTTCTTATCAGAAAATCTTGTCAAGGTTTTCAAACATTCATGTGGGTTTCTTGAGAGTTTCTTTAGAGTTTCATTTCGGATTTCGTCCATGAGGGGTCAAAAAAACACGGGGGAGGTCAAACAAACAAGGTGGGGAATCAAAAAAAACAACGCCCTCGTATACTTCGATAAAATATCATGCACCTGTGCGGCGCAACCATGCACCTGTGCGGCGCAACACTAGCTGTATAATAATAGGGCCAAAAATATTGTGTATATATATATCTATCTAACTATTATACAGTTACTTAGATCCATGAACCCATACAACCATAGGATCAGAATATTAACATGTACTCAAATGAAAAACCCATTTATACATGAAAATTCAAACCTATCAAATTTATTTCACAACGATATACATAGCAAAAAGGTCGAGAGCCTCAAGGTGCGATACATTTCATTGCGTTACATTGCAATGCATTGCATTGCATTACATTGCATTGCATAACATTACATTGCCTTACATTGCGTTGCATTACACTTCATTGCATTGCTTTGCATTACCTTTCGTTGCTCTTCATTGCAATGCAGGGCATTGCATTGCATTACATTGCATGGCATTACATTGCATTACATGGCATTGCATTACATTTCACTGCATTGCATTGCATTGCATTGCAATGCATTGCATTGCATTACATTGCTTGGCATTACATTGCATTACATTGCATTCAATTGCATTACATTGCATTCCATTACATTGCATTGCAGTACATTGCATTGCATTACATTGCATTGCATTGCATTACATTGCCTTACATTGCATTGCATTGCAGTACATTGCATGGCATTACATTGCATTGCATTGCATTTCATTGCATTGCATTACATTGCATTGCAGTGCAGTACATTGCATTGCACTACATTACATTGCATTGCATTGCATTACATTGCATTCCATTACATTGCATTGCATTGCAGTACATTGCATTGCATTACCTTGCATTGCATTGCCTTGCATTGCATTGCAGTGCATTGCATTGCATTGAATTGCAAGCTTTCATTTATGGTTTCTTTAGGTCAATTTATGATTTCTTTAGGGTTCATTTTGTGTTTCATGTAGGGGTTTCTGGCAGCAATTCATTCGGGTTTCTTTCGGTTTCACAGTTTCACCTACGGTGTTTAAACTTTCATTTAAGATACAAACAGGAAAGAATAAAACAAAAAAAGTAGGATTTCAGTTTCATGTAGGAATTCTCTTGATATTTACATCTCTTAAGGGTTTTATTTCGAGTTTCTTTTGCGTTTCTGTCGGGTTTCATGTAGGGTTTCATTTAGGGATTCTTTCCGATTTCCTTTCGCGTTTAATTTCGAGTGTTATGTGAATTTCTTATCAGAAAATCTTGTCAAGGTTTTCAAACATTCATGTGGGCTTCTTGAGAGTTTCTTTAGAGTTTCATTTCGGATTTCGTTCATGAGGGGTCAAAAAAACACGGGGGAAGTCAAACAAACAAGGTGGGGGATCAAAAAAACAACGCCCTCGTATACTTTCATAAAATATCATGCACCTGTGCGGCGCAACATTAGCTGTATAATAATAGGGCCAAAAATATTGTGTATATATATATCTAACTATTATACAGTTACTTAGATCCATGAACCCATAAAACCATAAGATCAGAGTATTAACATGCACTCAAATGAAAAACCCATTTACACATGAAAATTCAAACCTATCAAATATATTTCACAAGGATGTACATAGCAAAAAGGTCGAGAACCTCAAAGTGCAACGCACCGAAGCGTTTTTCTGCCAGCTTTGCTTCCTTGCCACTTCTTCCGGGGTCGGCGGCAGGGGCGGCAGC